TAACATGCGAGGGCCACAGCCCCGAATTTCACCATTTCTGTGCAACTTGACCAATCAGAAGCAGAGCATTGTGGGAGATCCGTTCATGGTGTCCTGGTGAACGCACAGCGCGCGGAACGCGTCATTTCCAAATGTGAAGAATAAAACACAACAAAAGCTTTATTGCTATTTGAGTAATGACTCACCACCTGGCTTCCTGATTGGTCAGCTTCTCGATCAATCAAGAAGCCAGGCAGCGAGTCATTACACAGCGCCCGGCTTCCTTCTTGGCCGGGAAGCCGGCTCCATGCTCCCTCGTCACCAAGTGATGAGGCAGCATGGAGCCGGCTTCCCGACCATTCAGGAAGCCGGGCAGCGTGGAATGACTCGCCGCCCGGCTTCCTGATACTGGAAGTTCGGGTATCGGCAGTGGCGTCACAAAGGGAGGTGCGGCCCGCATCCGGGTGACACCAAAATGACTCACAGGTCATTTCGGTGTCACCCCCCTCTGAAAAGTCGGGCGCTCGGTCATGGACCGAACGCCCGGCAGTATCAGGAGAGAGGAGGGCATATCTCATCCCGCCGGGTGACTGTTCCCTCCTCTCTCTGCCGGCGTCCATTACCAAGATGGCCGCCGGCAGGTATCAGAATACTGCCGCGCGTGCGCGATGACGTCGACGCACATATCGGTGCATCCCTAGTTTATATACATACACACACGAACACACTAGGTAGGCCAACAGAACTTAATAGAAATCTTCTGATGCTCGGTGACCTGAACCGGCCGAGCGGTTTAATATGAAGCAAAGATTGCGCGCCCCCCCCTCCCATGAAGCATTTATTGCGATTTTTGCACGTGCGATGGTATCAGTTTTGTTTTCTTTTTGTGACGCGCAGATCTGATACAATGTATCCCTCATCATACTCCTATGTTCGGCCCACCGGAAATGGTAAAATCATAATAAATTCTTCACTATACTCATCCGGCAACAGAACCGTCACCGGCGGAGACTTTGGAAAACACGGCCATCAAGCTCTGAGGTGACGTCTCACCCCGCCCCCCCATCCCACTGGGCGTGTCCATCCATCGAACACGCCCCCTTCGTTACACAAAGCTTTCAGCGTGATGGATATTTGCTCGGTGATTGCGTCTAAATGCTTCCCACAGCCCCGTGTACGGTCCGCGGGCTCGGCAGGGAACACTCGGACCGGTGAGACGTTGTATTATTTCAAACATTCGCGCGCCTCACCCAACCGCGTATTATAAAATATTGACCGCGAAAAACCGCTCCCGGCTTCCGTTTTAAAAAGCTGATGAACTGGATAAGTCATAATTGCGGTACTGACCCGCACAATACTGACCGCCGGACGCTTTACTGACTGACACCTTAGTGACCTGTAGGGATTTTCAGCAGGAAAAGGAGATCGAATGTACAAACACCACCAGAGAAGTAATAGAGGTGAATGTACGTCTCTCCTCCTTATAACCGACCTCCAGGAAGGTACAAAAACATCATTTAATCTCGACATTTGTTCATTAAAGTCCTGAATGCATTTTTTTCAGTGTGAATACCCGAACCTGTCCTTATATTAGCTGCCCGCAATCTCCTGCACAGCAGGACCGGGAGAGAGAGCCGCACTCTATACCGGCTGCCGAAGCTCTATTGCTCATCTGGCAGACTGGAGGCGGCTTAGTAACCGAGCCGTTACTGCACCCGGAGGAAAAACGAGGTCACCGAACTGGCTGGGGGGAGAGGTGAGCGAGTCGCAGGACCTGCTCAACAGAACTGCAATTCTTTGGCAACGTAAAGTTCACATTTGCCCGGAGTTCAGCCTTGATAACGTTTCAGCCAATGAGAGCTGAGCAGCGGCTATGACCCAAGACCGAAGCATCTCGATATTAAGAAAAGATCGGTAGAAAAAAGGATTTCAATATTAATTCTCATTGTAACAGCATAAAACATTGGGGGGGGCTACATTATCTGGGGGGTCATATGGGTCCCTCCCCCCCACCAGCCATTGGCCCCCATCTCCAGTGCAATCTCATCTGTACAGCACGGAGCGTCTGGTGTCAGCACCTTCCATTCTCATCCCTCTAATGTTACATAGGAAACAGGAGTGTATTAGATACGGATGATGGTATCAGGAGGGGGCGGCCACTTCCCTATCAGGAGGGGGCGGCCACTTCCCTATCAGGAGGGGGCGGCCACTTCCCTATCAGGAGGGGGCGGCCACTTCCCTATCAGGAGGGGGCGGCCACTTCCCTATCAGGAGGGGGCGGCCACTTCCCTATCAGGAGGGGGCGGCCACTTCCCTATCAGGAGGGGGCGGCCACTTCCCTATCAGGAGGGGGCGGCCACTTCCCTATCAGGAGGGGGCGGCCACTTCCCTATCAGGAGGGGGCGGCCACTTCCCTATCAGGAGGGGGCGGCCACTTCCCTATCAGGAGGGGGCGGCCACTTCCCTATCAGGAGGGGGCGGCCACTTCCCTATCAGGAG